ATCAGGGCTGAAGTTTCATTATGCATAAATTAGGTATCTATAAATTAAATATTATCCACCCAATTTATTACAACCCTAATAATTTCAATTCTCATTCTCTCTCTCTCTCTCTCTCTCTCTCTCTCTATATCTCTCATTCTCTCTCTGCTTCTCTCATTTCTTTCCTCTCTGCGCCGCCATCCGTTGAAATTCCGGCAACCAACGACGGAGCTGCACCGACAATACACACTATCTCTCCTCCCACAAGTACAGCTACCAGATTGTCGCCATCTTCTTCCAATCATCGCGATGGGCGAAGCTCATCTTCACGTGCGGCGGCGAAGCACAACAGCTTTGTTCGCCGCTGCACGCGGTGCTTAGAGCATCGCCCAACGCAAATCTGAGTCGACAACGGCATGATGAAGGCGATCCGGTCAAGATGGTGTAGCCGAGCTGCGCTATGCGGCCACTCCGGTCGGCGGCAGTGGGCGATTTCTGTGTGTGAAAGTCGATTGTGTTGTTATGATGTGTGCGGTAACGATAGTGGTTAATGCGAAGGCAAGGCCAGCAAAAGAGGTGACCACATCGTGTGACAATCGGGTCCTGAACCAAGTCGAAGCAAATATTACACTCGAAATGTCCAGCATCTGGGTTTTGGGGCTCCTCGTTTGTCGATTCCCCAAGCCTACTCACCATCTTTCACCCTCAAATTACTCGAATCTCCTACTACAAATTTAGCTCTGGTGCGGTGGTAACGATGGTTGTTGGTGCAACCATGCAGGTGGTGGAAGTGGTCGATTTGTGGCGTATGTGCGCTAATTTGTGTGAGTTCTGTAATGATGTGGAGTTGGGGACTTTTTTCAGATGGATGTTGTGAGATGGTGGCGTGGAATTTGACCAGATTAGGTGTGTGGTGGGTTGACAATGGTGGTAGCAGTCGACGGTGGTGCTGGTGGAGGATCTGGCCGATTTGGTGATTTTGATTTTGTGACTAAAAATAGTATCTGTGACATTACAATTCGGTAATCTGTTACTAAAAATATAATATGTGACCTACAAATTATATAATTTGTAACCGTGAAAAAATTTGTGACCAACTAATTTAGAAATTTGTGACCAACGAATTAATTGTGACTTGCAAAATTTTTGAACTGTGGCCGTAAAATAATTTGTGACTAATTAAATTGTAAATTTGTGACCAAAATGGTCGCCGGAATCGGAACAGTCGCCGGAACGATCGCCGGAGAAGAGTTGTATGGGTGGTGTAGGTGGAGTGGGTTAATTATATTATATTAGAATTAAATATTTAATAAATTTATTTAATAATTAATTAATAA